CAAGGTTTTTTCTCTTTTCATTTCTGTTTGATGTGAAGTCCTCGACTCGTTCTGAGTGGGGTAGTAATTGAATGCCGAATGCTTCATGAAAACAGACTTGACTTCTCACCAAGAACGGATCCACTATGGTGTCAGTCTCCAGAAGTTGTTAGTTAAACAAAGTCACAAAGTAAAATAACTATCCATGAACTGACTTTTCATAGAGAAAATTAAAATACTGAATCCTGCAGAAACTGGAGCCAGCTCTTTGTGGCTGCACTAATGTAAAAAAAACAGGGTTCAACTAATTATTTTTTAAATACTTCGACAGGCAGCAAAAAACTTCGTTTCTGTTTAACCCTTTGCAGATGAAGGTGAAATTATTTACAGTTCCTTAAAGAAAATAGGAGCAGTGGAGTGTTTAAACCATCAACCTGGGTTTGTGTGAAAGTCAAGTCCATGTCCTCTTCATGTCAAATTTCCTTTTCTCCAATGAAATAAAACCATAAAATCTTTCACATGCACACATACAAAAAAAATTAAAAACAGACGTATTACTAAGCACTTTAGGTTTATTACCAAAAGGCGGTGACTGTTTTATATATAGAGAATATTTCTCAGTCAGCTTTCCCATGGACTTTTTACAGAAAATGCAACATTTTTATTATGATCAGTAATGCAACAGCACTATGGTAACAATTCAATAATTCATAAACTGTATTTTCATTTATGACAATGAGCCTCAATCTACTGAATTTGTTTTTTTTTTTTGGCAATCTCTCTAATGAAGTGAAATAAAAATCCATTAAATTGTTCAAGCACTGAGATTTCATTAGCAAATATGCTCTTCATTTTTAATCATAAAATCTTCTGATGTTAACTTTTTGTTTTGAAACATTGTTTTCTCTGAATAATAGTACCACAAGCATCGATAGTAATTACATGGAAAGGAAGGAAGGAAGGAAGGAAGGAAGGAAGGAAGGAAAGAAAGAAAGAAAGAAAGAAAGAAAGAAAGAAAGAAAGAAAGAAAGAAAGAAAGAAAGAAAGAAAGAAAGAAAGAAAGAAAGAAAGAAAGAAAGAAAGAAAGAAAGAAAGAAAGAAAGAAAGAAAGAAAGAAAGAAAGAAAGAAAGAAAGAAAGAAAGAAAGAAAAAAACTTTAGGTCTGTCTCGCAACCCTACAATATTAATTACATCAGGGCAGCTTGTGAATAATTAAGAATGCCTATTTAACAGCTATGAATAATTTAGCTGCAGTCAGTGTGTGTTGGTGTGTGTGTGTGCGTGTGTGCGTGTGCGTGTGTGTGTGTGTGTGTGTGTGTGTATATAAAGTGATCAATAAGCTCAGAGTTTAACCAATGAATCAGCAAAGGTCTCTGTAAGAACTCAATGTGCTTGTTTATCCATCCACTGCAAAGGCGCAGAGAGAGCGACAGAGAGAGCGACAGAGAGATAGTGCACGTGAACATCTACATGCATTTATATTTAAATCAACGTGTAAAAACTGAACTTTCCTTCTTCATTCAGTGATACCTAAATAAATTACATGGTCATTATTATCTTAGGGTAGAAACTTTCATCTAGGTGTGCATAGATTAGTCGACCAGACCCCAGAATCTGATGTTTGTGTTGCTATATCTCACGTTAGTGACCCATAAACTGGGAAAGGCTTGTGCCCAAAGTGACTTTTTCTGTTTGATTACAATGGCAAAACTAACTCTGGTTACAATAAAATTAAGGCAGAGGTTTCAGTTTAGCAGCCCACAGTCTATTTGCAGCTTGTTTTGCAGTAATCAGATTCCACAAAAGTTTTGACTGCTGTTAACTTTTACAGTGTTGTATACTGGTCGCCGTTTTCTCATAGAGCTGTCTCAGAACAGTGAAGGATGCATGCTAAAGGTGATCCTAAAAAGCTGCATAATGTTGCTCTTTCCTCTTAAAACTATGATGTTCAATCCCCATTTAATATGTATTATCATTATATTGATAAAATCCGTAACATATAAAAATACTATTTAAATAAGTGATGCTATAGAAAAGTCTTTTGAATACTTTTAGAAAATGCGACACAAAAACTATATCATAGTTTCTCAAAGTCATAAGTTGCACACTATATACAAGAAGAATGGAATTATAAACCCTTTTGAAACTTGAAGGTAAAAACTGTATAAGACAATATTTCTTTAGTGGTGATATATGTGCCTTGATGACTTAGGCATTGATTGATTTTTTATTTTATTTATTTAACTAAAATGGCAAGATGAGCTCATGGAGAGTGACCACCAGAGAGATCTAGTCTTGTAAAAGCCAGTGAATTGAAAAGCTGTTTAACAGTGCGGTGGACATGGCAATGATATTAGTATTCTCTGGAAGTGGTCCTCTCACTGAAACATGATAGTATACAGCCAAACCCAGAGGCACTTTGAGCTAATGTTTTTTGTGTCCTCTGCTGGAATGGCATGCTAACGTTAGTTATTGCTGACGGCTTCCCAAATGAGGAGAAAGCCAGCTTTTCATCAGTGTCAGGAGGGATGCTGTCATGTCAGAACACAAACACGCAATACAAAAGAGATTTACTGGGAAGCTGTTAAAAATGCAACTGTCTCAGTTTAAATAGTCGTATTTGTTGTAAACATGTTTTTATATAACTTTATCTTGAAAAAGGTCAACCCTTTCTGTGTTGTGGCCAGCAAATTTCACGAAGCTACTTTCATTTGCCTCAAATTTATTAACCGTTTGGACCATCAAAGATCCAGAATACATGGTAGTTACAGCATTTTAGTGTGAACATCAAAAAGAAGCAAACTGTAAATACGACCATGAATCCTACAATATAAAAGCATCAACAGTTAAATCCATAATATTTTATTACTGCAATAAAAACATGGAATTGTCTCCTTCCGCATCATGTTCTGTGTGATTTAATAATATGATCTATAGCACTAGTCATTGCCTTAAGGTCCCTATTCGTGAAATAAAAGAAATCCTGGTTTGGTGCGGTTTGAAAATAGTTGCAAAACAAATTCAAACTTGCCATTTCCACCAGACGTTTTCTTTCAGATTCAGGTATTTAGTTTGAATACATTTCATCTAACCAAAACAGAGAAAATAATGTTTTATAGTTTGTTTAGGAAGAAATCGTGAGGAAGATCAGCATTAAATCACATGTGTTGTGTCCTAAACCAATTCTCTAGAAAATTCTCTAGACAGAAAACATAAAAAAGTATTTTAAAATCAGTAGTAAAATGAAAATGTCATATATTATCATGTAATTTATATAATTTTTTATATAAATATATATTTTTTTCTGGGCACTCAAAATGCTTTACATGTTAAAGGAAAATGCAGAATGAGCTAGGGTAATTTTTAGTAATAGATTATTTCAGCGCTTTGATGGTCAAAGGCCAGAAAGCAAATTCAGCCAGGGTTACACCACTACTATTTTCGCATTCTGGGATGTGCAAAAAAAAGGATAGCTATGGATTCTGTTTATCATTCACTGTGCTGGCTACTTAAAATCCCAAGTTTTCCCAAGTGGTCTCCCTTCTAGGTACTAACTAGGTTCAGCCCTGCTTAGCACTGGTGGCAAACCAGACATAGAATGCTGGGGATATGTCTGAGACTTTTTTTGACCAACAAAAATGCAAAATCCAATATGTTTGTCTCAACATATATTTATTTGTCAAATGTACTTTTATAATATCCTTATTTGTACTGTATTTGTACAAATCTAAAATCATTATTGAGCAACAATTAAAAATGAAATAAAATAATTCTGAGCACATTTTAAGCAAAATTTTGAATCCTGTAAGTAGTTTTTTTGAAATCTCCTTAAAGGAAAGATTATATTTTCATTTACATTTTACACTGTTACAAAATATGACACAAGCTTTGCTAGATTTAGTAATGAAATCCAAATAGTTCCAAATCACTATAAACCACTACAAAATATCAATAAAACAAGTGAAAAGAATTACAGTTTAAGAAAACAGCTATATACACATACTAGATAGTACTGAAACAAATATTTTCTCCAAAAAGCCTGAAGAAAGTGAACACATTCTGTTACCTCAAACACAAATATGAGACTGACTTACTGCAGCGAGTGCATTTGTTTAATACAAGGGAAAACCTTGACAACGTGAATATAACTTGCAAATTAACGTTGGGTCCCTCATCTACACACAAATGTATGTGTGAGTGTGAGAGAAGAATGAGAAAGAAAAGGACAATATAATTAATCAGAGTAGAGTGTGGCTCTACTCCCAGAAACTGATGTATACACACAGTAAAGGACTTAATTCACAAATAAACAGGGTTATAATTCAGAGAGAGTGGAGCAGAGTGAAAGCAGACCATAAATATGTATAAGACAGGAAACAATGAGAGAATAAAAAAGAGAGACAGAAAGAACACTGCATTTATCATCATAAAATAAACAATTATTAAAAAACATTGAATAATGAATCATATTGTTTCCTGAGATTTTAGAGGAATAGCAATCTCTCCTGACACTTCTGATGTGCCTCTTTGAATTCAAAGATTATTTTCTTGGGTTTTTTTTTTACATGAAAGAGTGTAAGGAATAAAAAACACTGTTCTGGCCAAATCAGCTTTGACTAAAAGGTCTGAAAATGATGACTTGTGTATGTGAACACGCATGGGATACAGCATCAAACATTTTATTTTAAAACCAAGAGGAACATGCTCAGAGTTCATAACATTAGCGGTGCCCCTTAGTGCCAGGTTCATATTGCATGCTCTAAATCAAACCAGATCCTAGAGCCTTTTTTGTTTTGAAATTTGTTTAAAAGATAAAAAAAGGTTTAAACATTGAAATAATTTCAATAACAAATTGTATCATGGACATAATTTCAAGCTAAGTATCCTATTGTGAGCATTGCATTACATTCAGAATTAGAAAATCTTATGCTGTGAGGCCTTTTCAGACACACTTGCTACAGACCGAGTGTGTTTGAATGTAGCAAATAGACTTTGAGCAAGTGCAGACGCCTGCTCACTGGGCTGCTGTGGGCTAGTGGATAAGGAGATTGATTAGTGATCAGTAGGTCACTGGTTCAATCCCCAGCTCCACTGTAATTCGAAGGTGGGGTGAATGTTAAAAAGCTCACTCTCTTCCCCCCTTTAACAACCATGAGTGTAGTGGGCTCGAGCAAGTCACCAGTTTCTCCCACTACTCTCTGGATGCCCACTGTGTGTTTGTTTATTGCTGTACTTGAACTCGGATGGGTTAAATGCAGAGCACAAGTTCCATACGAATCACATGAATCAATGGACAATGGGAAGAGATAAAACTGACCCCAGTTATCATCTTAGAATGAAAGCATTTCGGTTCGCTCTGTCTTTTGAATATATACAACTGCTGGACGGACAATCAGAGCAGTGAGGAGATAGACAACCTCAAGACATTTATGTAATTTTTTTCTGTGCCTATAGGTTTTCCCTAGTAAAAAAGTCTTTGAGGTAATATGAATAAAAAGATGTTTCGCAGATGCAGTCAGTTTTAAATCATGGATGATTAGTTAAGAAACTGTGGTCTTCAAGCTACGCAAGCTCTGTTTGTGCTCACTCGCTTAATTGGGTTGTTCACCTGTCACTAAGTTTTGGTGGATTAGAGTTCAGTGAATGTTTCAGTTTATTATGAACAAGCACGACATATAGCAAAAATAGCACTGCTAAAATGGGCTTGTTGCTGTAAAAATCAGCCACTGAGTCTTAAATGTGCTTTTATTAGAAGAAACACCCAGCCATGAACCAGAGCTGTATGTGTGTATGCTTCATGAATTTACATGTATTCAGTGAGATGCGTTTCACTGAGTACGTGAGTAAAATATAATTTAAAAGCTCTGAGTGCAGGATGCTGTGTGTAATAGTTAGATTAGATGTCTATAATGAAATTCCCTCTCTCACACGCATACACACCCTGCATGAACACACACTGTTTCCGAAATGAAACTCTCTAATGAATAGGCAGATGATCTCTCAATGCATTATATCTTACGAGCCGTTAAAAGCAGTTATTGCTTTCATATGACTATCACTGTAAAATGAGAGGAAGTTATTGAATTTACTTGTGAAAAGCTGTTAGGCTTTGGTGTAAGCACATCTCTCTTTACTGTGCACGAGAGCAGAGCCATCGTAACACGACTAGACAATTCTTAGGGCCCAGAGACTGAAGGAACCCCTAAAGGACAGACAGCAGTTTTGGCCTAAACCATATTTCCACATAGAAACAGACAATGTCAATTTTTGAAATGTCAATGTCAAGTCTGAAATGGACCGAATTTTTGGTTCCAAGTCAAAATCAAAGAGTATTAAAAGCACTAAACCTCGGTAGAAAACAGGAAAGTACACAGCTCCATACTGCTTTAGATTGTTAGAGATAAAACTAGGGATCAAAAACTAATCAGCCATGAATTTGACTGTTTTCAGGGTGATTGGCCTGATAAGTGATAGGCTTGTCATTTTCACAACTTGACGTTCAAATACTTTTGCTTTTGCACATGGGCCACAGTTGAACGATGCAGATTTTATTCTCCTGGCAGACTCACTCTGTCTCTGTTGACTAAATGGCAATATGTCTTGAGCAAACTAAAGAAGTGTTTAGTAAAGAAAGGAAAGTCCAAGATCTGTGAAAGACGTGTGCTCAAGTCCCATCAAGGTCTGTCAGCCAGACTAAACATTGAACATTGTGTAACTGTGATTATTATAAAAAGAGATAGCAGTCACTAAATGTTAGTTTTGACAAAACTATTTATATTCTGCAACAGAGAATGCATTTTATATAGTTTAACTTATTTGCTCATAGTTCCATAATTAATCTGAGTACAGTTTTTTGTTATATAATCCTCAGGATTCATCAGGTGGGATTTTAGAAGAATTGATAGGTTGTGACTACGCATGAATGACATTTTAATTTTTGTGCTGTTTAACTAAAACATAATCCTTTCGAAGTCTCTGCATGCACAGGTGCATGTGCCAATCACATCGGGTGTTTTGAATTACATAGGAATGACGTAAATATCGTTTAATTCAGATATAATATATGGGTTTCAAAAAGATTGTTAATTTTCATCTTTTTGGTTTTAAACAAACATTACAAGAGTTATGATAAATAATTTGCAGGGTAATTCAAATTACAATTTTAAATTTCAATTTACAGACCACAAATCGGTGCTATCTAGAGGTGAAAAGAATGGATAACACAATATATATATAGATATAGATATAGATATAGATATATAAACTGTTCGTCGTCCATTTTTAAAATGTTTGCAGTAAAAAATGCTCAAAAGACCCTAAGGTTTCTAAGGTTTAAGTGAATAATTATAATAAACGCAAGGGTTTTGCAAAAACAAGTAAAGTGTACTGTGAATTTTCTGCACTGTTTGTTGAAAAAAAATCATACATGGTAAAAATAGATAATTATGTATCTATACTATAACATTACTGATGAACAAACTTCTAAAGAGATTTTTTTTTAGAAAAAACAAACATAAAGAATGAATGAAAGATCACATTTTTTTAACTAAAGACCTGCCAGTGAATATTGGTAGGAACATTTTCAGGGTGATTCAGGTAATGACACACAAAAACACACACGTTCAAATGGTTCAATTGCTCTGTCTGTGAAGAACCAGATATTCAGCCCCTACACCGACTGACTCAATCTCTTTCTAGACACGTCACTTCTCATTTTTGGGAAAGTAACTGCCAAGAAACAGTGAAAATCTTTTCACATGTTTCTCATTTCCTTTGTTCCAGTCTTTTATACTCAACTTGAGTTTTCTTTCTTTCTTTGCACGTCTATGTTCTTCTTTTCTCAAGCTCATGTGTTAACCCGAGTCATAATTCAATGAAATTGATCCACATTCTGCTTCCAAAGAAATGCATTGTAAAGGAAGTTTTATGTTTTAAAAGCCCCCTCCTTTGATGATAATCTCTGGTATGACCAAAACAACCCTGCTCATACACCAAAACGACCAAAATCACATGTGGCACAGACACTGTAACACAGGCGGTGGAATCTGTAGCCTGGAAGTCAGTATCATTACTAAATATTAAATAATGAAAATACTACAATATGTAAATGCTCCCTTCTCCACATCATGAAAACATTTACTGACTGCTTCTGAGGCTTTTTTGAATAATCGTCAACCATATCTTTAATTTGTTCCACTTTGAATCTCGAAAGCAGTCACTTAACAAACTGCAGTTCATTTTTTACAGCAGTTTATGCTAATAAACCATGTCTGTTCTCACCAGGAAGAAAACAAATTGAGAAAAAATCTTGCAGGCATCTTCATCTAATTCTTACTAAAACGGGAATTTGTGTACAAACCTGTGCCTGATGCCCTGCAGTCACAACGTGGTTTGAAGCCTTTTTAGCACAGCCTCACTTAAACTAAAGATTAGCTGTAAATGCAGGCGGGTGTCTCTTAAGGGTTTAGAGGCGGACCGCTTGCTGTTTGTGTGCAAGAGACTTTATAACTTCAGAGGAAATGAGGGAAATAGATGAGTAGCATATTGTGCAGTTCAGGCAGCAGTTAGCAGGGATGCATTGTTGGCAGATTGGGTGAGTGTTTGGATGTGAACGTAATGTTGATGTTAGCATTCACACTTACAGGAGTGTGGTCAATTACAGCTGATTATTCCAACCATTGTGACATCGTTAGATAGGAACTGAACAAATATCACAGGTACTGATTCATTTCTTTAATCATCTTTGTCCTGGCTATGAAACACTGCATCAGCAGAAAGGTATTCGAGCACGTCCCTCATTGCATCCTGTGGATAGCATTTTGGAAGTATCAGGTCCTGGGCCCAAATAAATATGAAAATTACTTGCAAAATGTTTTAAAAGTAATTTATAAAAAGCACCCACCTCGCATAGATCCTGTGCTTCATACAAATGAAGGGCAAACACCTGGGGCCTTATTTATCAGAGCTGCATATACAGAAAAAATGTGTATGTCAGCTCTCATGTGAAATATGTTAACACTGAAATTATTGTGAAAATGTGCCTTCCTCCATTCAGCTTAATGTCTGGTGTAAGCATATTTCTGATTTCTTTGGCGACTCCTACAGGCAAAATAAATTTTTCGATTGAACAACCGCTGTCCCAGGATTCATCATTGTAACTCAACCAACAAGCATTCAGACTCACCATGTGATTGTGACTGCACTTTAAAAAGTATTGCTGTCAAAAAACAGTAATCAAGTGGCAGCTGTGGTTGAAAGATACTATAAATTGCTCTCCTGTGGTTTGAATTAATGGCATGTTACTATTAATTTTACTGTTAATTAACTGTATAATTGCCTAGTGTAAAACTAACAGCACCTACTTTTGTTGGGCAACCACTGAAACTCAAGTGAACAAGTCTTTTCTGCATTAGTAAAAAACAGGAACTTGTAACAGTATTCGATTACTGGAACATTTTACAGTGTGGAATCTCAGTACATTTCCCTCGTGATTTGCTCTTGTGAGTAAGGCTCATCTGTTCCTTTAAACACTCTGTTAATATACTGTGCACTGTGAGCATACAATCTTCACTTTTTTAATCAAATTCTTGTAATTTTTTTTTTTACGTAATTTCCCTGATGTAATCATGGTAACAACACAAAAATACACATTCCGACCAGATTTACCATTTCTTGTCTGAATCTGAGTGTGTCTGTCATCTAACCTTCTATTCTGTATGTGTGTGTATGTTTCCTGCTTATGAGGCACTTCTTGAGCTCTGATCAGATGTGCACTCATCAGTGTGTAAGAGGAAAATGAGAGCCATTCTGAGTCAGAGATGGGTAAGGAAACACTCACTACTGAATTCAAGTACTCACAAAATCTCTAATCCATGAACACACTCCACTTTGGGAAACCGTTTACATTTTAATGCATTGCAGGTAACGATCCCATATTCGAACCAATTGTGAAGAGCTCTTCAAAGTGATAGAAAATATGAAAATTCAAACCATGGAAACTCAAATAGAAATCCTTTCAATGATCTAAGTCTTTTGTTCACACATCTTACATCGAAGCGCTGGAACAAACTCCCTGAGAACGTTCAATGCTC